CACACACACACACACACACACACACACACACACACACACACACACACATACATATAAAAATAAATATATTTTAAGAAAAGGGCAAATTGATTGGCACCAGTGGACTTTCGTGTCTTTAAAGATATGAGTCCATGATCTATTCTATTTCGTAATGCCACCCACTATGTAGTGAGACACAAAAGATAAGATTTGTTAGAAAAGAAAAAAATTGCATAACCAAAATGAGTTTATTATCAAAGTGACGGTGCTATCATCACATGGATAAGGTCATCCAGAGAGGAAAAGGACAGTTTTAATCTTGTCCTTTCTAACTTAAAATGTGCAGGAGCCTCTCTGCTTATAAACTTATAAACAGTAGAACCCATACTCTCATCCCCCCTTCAGGCTTTCAAAACTCAGGGTTTAATCAAGTCAGCCAAATCAGTCATTCTCCCCAAATTAGTCTCTCTTCCAAGATTCCGCATGACGAGGCCAAGGGATTTCTTTGGTGCCATGGGTGAACCATAAGAAGCCCAGAGAAGTCCCCACCTCTTCTTGAAGACAACATCTTCCATCAAACCTCTGTGGGCCAGTTCATTGACTTGGGAACTGTACTGGACATTTCCTCTGTGCCTCCCCAGCTAGCAGCTCATGTACCAGCCATTCTCACTTCTGCCTGAATTTTCCTGTGTCACTTTCCCTGAATCTGAGAGGCCAGATGCTCTCTTGCTTGTGTGCTTCCTTCCTCCTGTGTGCTCAGTTCCTAACCCGGAAGTGTGGTTCTAACAGCTGTGTGGTCTAAGTTCATGATGCTTAGCCATGAGCGTTTTCGTTTGTCCCGCTTGGCTCTCCCGCACAGCATGCAGCTACTTTCTTTTGCAGCTAATCTGGGAAAATAAGAAAAATTGCAAGGTATTCCTAATTCCCTGCAGATAATCCATGTCTCCCTTAAAATTAATCTGCTGAAATTCTGATTTTGAGATGATAGTATTAAGATCTATGAGGGGTCATTGTGTCATGAG